ACCTGTCGCAGCACCAGCGCACCCACGGCACTGGCGCTGTCAGCCTCGAGGTCATGGGCTCCGACTTCCACCACTCCGACATGCAGCACGGCCAACCCGGCGCGTTTGGCGCACAGGCGCCTTCCACCATGGGCGAGATCCTCTACAACGCCGCTGCCGAGATCCCCACATCAAGCTCAGACGGATCCGAGAACGAGTCTTCCCCCAGCCAGAAGAAGCGCAAGAGGAACGAGTAAACCTTCTTCACTACCACACTTCTCCTTTCAACTCTTAACGACTCTTCATGACCCCCACAACACCTGGTAGAAGGATTATACATCATGCCACACGGCTGCTCGTCCACCCTCACGACATGGCTAGACAGGCGGCACCGATCTACATCAGCGGCTCGAGCTTGCACAATCTGCAGCTAAAACTCTACGCTTCCCTTCTCCCACTGTATTCTACATACCCGATCTGGCTGTACCAACATGCGAGATTGGCATTTTCTTCTCATCGCTTGGTTTTGCGTTTAGCACGGCTTATCGGGACTTCTGGGGCGGACCTTGGCGGACGGATAGATCTGGTGTTTTCTTTGGTTTCACTTTTACGACGACATGGCCATTACCCTACACCGGCCACTGTCGCCGCGTTACCCCGCTGTTTATCTTGCGCTTCCTACACTCGTTGTAATCGGGCAGCCTCATCTGAGCGCCCTCTGACATTCTGGGAATCTTCGCTTCTTTCTCATCACACACATGTAATTGTCAGACTTTTACAATCTGCTCAGCAATGCTTTTGCGTTCTTTGCGGCTCATTGTAGGTTAGAGGTGCTGGCACTGTCCGACTATCATACAAAAACACGTTACATACATACTTTCGATGCTTCTTCCCTGCATGTGACTACTGTGCCATGCATGCGAGCCGCGCGTTGTGCGCACTGTTGCTTTTGGACGATCAGCCGTCAGCGATGGGTGCAGGACGGGACCCTGATACCAAAATACACTATCGCGCTCGTTGCAAACCCCCACGGATCAACCTAGCGCGCGCAGACCCTTAGCGAGATCCAATCCACCTGCGTCTGTCTCATGCAACGAGCGGCACCGGGCCGTCTCAACTCCTTCATTGCTTTTCCCAGACGGTCGCCCGTTTCGAATCATTCGTTTTACCATGTCACCGTCATTGAGCGTAATTGCTTTAATCTCCGGAGGCAAAGACTCGCTCTTCTCCATTCTCCACTGCAAAGCCAACGGCCACAGCGTCGTAGCACTGGCCAATTTGCACCCAGCGCCTTCGGCCAATGACGATGAGGACATCAACAGTTACATGTACCAGACCGTGGGGCATTCGGTCATCCCACTCTACGAAGAAGCGCTAGGAATACCGCTCTATCGACAAGAGATCCTGGGCACCGCCGTAGACTCGAACAGAGACTATGCGACGCCTTTGCAAAAGCAAGAGCAGGATGAGACTGAAGACTTGGTTCCGCTGTTGAGAAGGGTCATGGAAGCACACCCAGAGGCAAACGCAGTGTCTACAGGGGCCATCCTGAGCACGTATCAACGGACGCGTGTGGAGAATGTTGCGCTCAGGCTAGGGCTGACGCCACTGTCGTATCTGTGGCAGTATCCGCTGTTGCCACCGTATACGCAATCGTCGCTTTTGCATGATATGACGACTGTAGGACAAAAAGCAATCATCATCAAGACGGCGTCTGGTGGTCTGGATGAAGACTTTTTGGGCCTCGATGTCGCTAATCACAAGACTATCGCAAGGCTAGCGAAGGCCATGGGGCGCTATGGCGATGCTGGTGACGGCGCGATACTGGGTGAAGGAGGGGAGTTTGAGACGCTGGCACTGGATGGGCCGAGGTCGATCTGGAAGAAGAAGATAGTGATCGAGGAGGGACCACCTGGGAAACTGGAGGGTGGCCAGGCGGTGCTGAAGATCGAGAAGAGTACGCTAGAGGAAAAGGTTAACGATAACGAAGGTGCTGGCAGATTGAGGATACCCGAGCTCTTTGACGACGAGTTCAAGAGAGTGTTGGAAGTGACAAACGCCAGCAACCAAAATGAGCTTTCTGCGTCCACTGAAAAAGAGGGCACTGTTCTGTCTTTTGGGTCGCCCTCTCGAGTGCATCCCCCGTCCATAGTAGACCGACTACCCAGGAATACATTCAGTAACGCCTCGACCGTCTTTACATACTCCAACCTCTCGAGCGATACCTCTCCCTCTTCCTCACCCGATTCCCCTTCTCGCCAGCTCTCCAAGATCTTCCTCCGTCTCGACCATATTCTGAAGCAATGCCATGTTTCCAGATCCAGCGTCAACCACTGCACATTGCTCCTCCGCGACATGGCAGACTTTACAGTCCTTAATCCAATCTACGCTCAATACTTCAGCGGCGTGAACCCGCCAGCCAGAGCTACGATCGCAGTCGGGGACACCATGCCAAAAGACAGACACGTCATGCTAAGCGTAACCGCGGACAAGGACCAGAACGACCAAAACGGAAAGCTCCTCCACCCAGTAAAGAGACAAGGCCTCCACGTCCAAGGCCGAAGCTACTGGGCACCCGCAAACATCGGACCTTACAGCCAAGCCATCTCCGCCCGCCTACCCCCCAGCAACCAGCACCCCGAAAACGACACCCAGACCACCGGAGAAGTCTTCTACGTAGCCGGGCAAATCCCGCTCATCCCCGCATCCATGGCCGTCCACACAGAGCAAGGTTTCCGAGGCCAAGCTCTCCTTTCCCTCCAACACCTCTGGCGCATCGGCCGCACAAAGCGAGTGACATGGTGGTTAGCAGCCGTGTGTTTCATTCCCGCTTCTGAGACACCAGAGGGGGATGTGCGGACGGCGCAGGAAGTATGGAGGAAGCTTCATACCCCACCTTCATCCTCGACTGGCGACGACAACCACGAGGACGAAGACGAAGACGAGGATATTGATCCTTGGGACCGCTTGAACCAACATGACGCCTCGGCCTTCAAGGACTCTACGTTCCGGGCGCCGATCCCTGATCGCTCTGCCATATCTACTGCGCAAAATCAAGGTTCGACCGGGGCTAAGGCAGAGATAGTCGTACCACCTTGTTTCGTCGCCCAGGTGTCTTCTCTGCCGCGCGGAGTGGATATAGAGTGGAGCGCTACGGGTCTTACGTCTCCCTCCATCGCATACGAGCGTGACGCCACTATTCCCCAGTGCACTACTACGACGCCGGCGCACAGTCGGTCTCGTTTTTTTACGTTGGAGATCAGGGATGAGCGGGATGTGGAGGTGCTAGGGAAGCTGGGTGCACAGGGCTGGACGAGTGCTACGCTGTATGTTGGAAGGGGATTTGCGTGGTATGGGAATGGAGGAGAGGGGGTCAAGATGGAGGGTGTGCAGTGGATTCCTTGCCAGAGGGTTTGGGGCGAGGAGGGGAGCGAGGTTTGTGCGGTACTTGTAGGAAGGCTGGATGCGTGAGGGAAGCGGGCAGTATGGATGTTTATGGAGAGAAAAAGGTATCATGCCATCTTCGTGCTCATACTTTGTCAGAACCGAACATGACCATGCGAGTATGTATGCATTGCTCGTAATTGCTTCTATAGCTATGTGATATCCCATCCATCTTCTTCCAATCGTCAAATCATGCCTGATGGTATAACAGCTTTTCCCAACCTGCCCGAGTCTCCGTAACGCCGTGTAAATGCCCGATATCGCGGTTGCCATTGCTTGGCTACTATGCAAGATTTCTCGCTTGTGTGTACCGTCTAGAACCTCTCCTTCATACGTCCGGCGACTGTCCGTAGGTTGCCGTACACCTTGCTTGGTTGTTGACCCAGGATCAGGCTGACAATGGCTTCGCGTGCGATGTGGATGTTCTTGAAACCGCCGAGGATGTGGATCTTCTGGTCTGCTAGGACGACTGCGGGTTGTTAGTAATCTGGACAACGGGGGTATTCATGCCATGGACGTACCTCGTGTTCTGCTGGCGTTCTCGATGGCGAACTTGGTCTTGCCGTCCTTGCCTGCAATGCGGCCAATCGCGCGGCCGAGATGCTCGCCCTGTAGGGTCTTGACGTCCTTGATCTCAAAGGTCTCAATGTAGAGATCGTCGAGTCGAAGCAGCTGTGAGTCGTCAGTCGGATATTCTCGAATCGAGGAGCCAGGCCAGGCCAGACGCAGTTTGAATAACTGCCAGCTCAGGTGTAGGGCTTCGTATCACTTACCGCAATGGCATCATCCGTGTCAAAGCCCAGCGTGAAGGCCTTTACAAAGTCCTCTCCCTTCTGCAGCGCGCCTGTGTCGGTTGTGGCGTTGGAGGTGCGCAGTTCGACGGCCTTTGCCTTTGTGTTCATGCGGACCTGCAGCTTGAGGTGCTCGACAAGCGGGGGGTAGATTTTGGGCCACGAGTTCTTGAGGGGCGTCATCCTGTGGGGTGGGATGGGGACCTTGCGCTGTTCGCGGCGGAAGGCGAGGGGTATCGACTTGGCGGCGGGGAACTTTGGCTTCCCGCTCTCGTCCGTCATGGGCATGTCGTCGTCGGTGGGTGCTGGGGCATCGTGGGCGGCGGCGACGGGGTCGAGGCTCATGGAGATGAGGTCGCCGTCGCTCTCGGTCGGGAGCGGGACCGACGACGCCTCCATGGTGACATCGTCGGCGAACTCGTCGGGCCTGCGCTGGAGGGCGGTAGGGGCGGGCATGCTGGCAGCGGTATGCGGTATGCGTGTGCGGTATGCGAAGTGTAGGCGGGCGTGGATGTTGGAGGTGCTATCGATGCGCGACAATGTGGGGCTGCTCAAGAAATTTGGCTGGGAGCGCTGGGAGGCGAGCGGCAGTCGTCCCGAAGCGGGCTAGCGCCTGTCACTCTACCGCGAGGCCTTCTTTTTGCATGTGCATGGGTAATGACGTGAATCTTGTATTCCAACCACCCGCCCGCCTGTCCTGCACCGCACACGGCACCCTCTCTGCCCCCACACACGTCCGCACACCCCTCGCTTGCCGACGTCGACCATGTACCCGCCGCGATTATCATGAACAAGAATGTAGGCACGCTCGGCTTCCTGTGGCGCGCCGTCGCTGGCCAGCCGCTGATCCACGGCGGCCGTGTGCTTCCGCGCGAAGGGCTGGGGGCATGGGCACAGGCACAGGCACAGGCACAGGCACAGGCGCAGTCGCCATGGCGGGGAGGCATCCAGAAGCGCTCCATCACCGCGAATTCGCATGTCTTGGGGCTGTCGACCACCTCACCGTATCCCGGACACGCACCCGGTCTGCTGCTGCGAGCATCGTCACCCCGCACCGGCCGTCTCCAGCAGAGTGTGGCTGGCACCGTCTTCTCGGCATGGCGCAGAGACGCATCGTCCAAGGCGGGCCGAGCGCTGGAGAGGAACAGAGGCAGCGACCGCCGCAACAAGAGTTCGGCGACGAATGGCTCCTCCAAGACCAAACCAGAGCCCACGGGCCAGACACCGCAGTCCTCCAAAACACCGCCGCCCAAGCCCAAGCCCGAAGCATCAGGTGCGGCAAAGCCCCTCCTCGACCGTCTCCCGCACCACCTACCCCACATATACCGCCCCAGCAAGGCTGAACTGCTCGAAGCTGCCTCGGGCTTCTGGTCGCGCATAAAGATCCACTTCAAGTGGCTTACCATCCGAAGCACCCGTCCCTTCAATGCCGATGAGATCTACGCATTGTTCTCGTGGATCATCGCCGCCCACTTCCTCTGGATCGTGCTGGGCACTACAACCTTCTTCATGCTGACCATCTTCTTGATCAACACCGCCTTCTCACAGGAGACGATTGCGAAGTGGATCGGAAACTACTTGACAAAGTCCTCAGGCATAAAAGTCGTCTTCGAGACCGCTGTAGTGCCCAAGTGGGGAGACGGTGTCATTTCTTTCCGCAATGTCTTTGTCTCGCGACGCCCCGGCCAAGGCAAAGGAAAGGTCAGCAAGGGTTCACAGACCGAGATGGCTGCTGCCGCCGCCGCCATAACCCACCAGGAAAGCGACACTCCAGACGCTGTCGAAGAGAAAGCGGAACCCGAAGAAGACACCAACTACACACAATTCGACATCTCCATCGATACCGTCAACGTCACACTGTCGTTCTCAAAATGGTTCAACGGCAAGGGCCTGTTGAAGGACGTCGAAATCAAGGGTATCCGCGGTGTCGTAGATCGGACGTCAGTGCAGACAATCGAGGGCGTGGATCCCAGGTCATACAAACACGAGCACAACCCGGGCGACTTCGAACTCGAGTCCTTCAAGATGGAAGATCTGCTCGTCACTATCTACCAGCCCAACGGCTTCCGCCCGTTCTCCGTCAGCATCTTCTCTTGCGACCTCTCTCAGCTGCGGAAGCAATGGCTGTTCTACGACTTCCTCTCTGCCAACATGATGTCCGGATCCTTCGACAACTCGCTCTTTACCATACATCCCAGACAAACACACAACTACACTGGCGCCCAGTTGAGCAGCGGCCGCGACAGCGAAGACGGCAGCTCCTGGAAGAAGCATAGCCGGATTCGTATCGACGGCTTGAACATCGACCACCTCAACAGGGGCTTTGAAGGCCCCTTCTCGTGGATCCACGAAGGCAACGTCGACATTGTGGCAGATGTCATGTTCCCCAATGACGATGACGATAGTATTGCAAAGGTCATGTCCGACATGTACGATCGTGTGGAAGCTACCGTTATCCAACAGCGCAAGCACCATTTCTCTGACCACGCGGTACACGGCTTCGATGAGCATCCTGAAGACAAGTCGCATCCCCACGAGGAAACAGAGGAGGACAACCGTTACATGATCATGGACATGCGTGTCCATCTCAACGACGTGCGCGCCGCAGTCCCAATCTTCACCCGGGACATTTCTTACGTGAACAACGCGCTCGTACGACCTATTGTGGCATACATGAACTCAAGTCGCACCTTCATCCCAGTGAACTGCAGGGTTGTGAAGAGGGTTAGTGAGTTCGACGGCAGTTGGACCCTCTATGATAGCGGGTTAATGGAGGAGGTGTCAAAGGAGGTGAGTCCTATATTCATTCCCCTTGCTGCCCTCTAGAAACGAGTCCTAACACATGCTTAGATGTACGATGCATTCGCCCGCGACGTCCTCGAAGATCGAACCACACGTAAACGACGCATAAAGAAGGTGGGCATTTGGACACTGCAGCTCGCAGCTCAAGCCCTCTTTCTTGGTCTCGCCGGCAACATCGCATAAAGATACCCTGATTAGATTGGATGAAGCGGATGAATCTCTTCTTTCTGTAATATAAATGGCAAAGCAAGGCGTTCTGGCGCATATACATACACACGGCTGATGTGGCTGGCTAGCCGAAGTAGATGAATGGATGAAATGGGCAACGAACTTGGGAGCTCTTAGAGCAGCTGCCTACGATGAAATGATAGACACTCTTATTCCCATCTATCAAAAGTTTCCACTCTATATCCATTGTACAAACAGGACTGCTCAGAGCCCCGTGCTGATGTCATGCGCCAGCGCCAGCATCTGAGGATCTATCTTTCAAAGCGTGACGGCCACGATGCCAACTTGTGCCCATTACACTGCTTTCACTTCAAGAGACTTGTAGTGTGAGTGATGCATGGGAATCTTCACCGATGAGATTGCCCTCAATAGCCAGCCCTCGCAGACACGCTCGAACCGAAAGAGCTACTACCAGCCGTTCCCATACCACAGATCTGCAGAATGGGTCGGATGACAGCGGAAGACACGTACTCTGGGGACAAGTGGGACCTCACTCTCTGCGGGTGATAGTGGATCGGTCGATGGACGTTGCGTCCTATGCTCACATCTGCGCGTTGTCAAGAAACCTCAAGAGGCATACCCAGAACGGCAAACGATGCAGCTGCAGGGCGTTTTACGACAATATCGAGGTCAGACGTGTTTTGTGTCGCCTTCCTAAGGCGGCGTACTACTAACCAAATGCCATCTGTACTCTCATCTCGACTCGCTTCGTCGGGTACCACATCTAGAGGCCTAAATTGCTACTACTAGTTTTACGATCCATAGCAACGTCGCTTTGAGCTCGACGTGGAACCAAACTACATACCAGGTCCGCGGCACACGCGTCGGACGAATGTGGTAGCACGAACACGCGCGACGGACCCAACCCCGAATGCCTGAAACCAGGTCAAGGGCCTTGGTCTCTGCGAAGAACGGAATTCGTGTTACAAAAGTAATACAGTACTGCTCCAAGCCCCGCCAGCTCCGAGATGACCATCCGACCCTCCGCGCGCACCTACAGCCAAGCGACGCTCGGGAGATGGCACCATTTCGCGGGCGCTGTCAAGCTCGCCATGCCAACCAACAAGCTTTGACAAAGCCTCCCCATGCTCTGGCTACCGTCTCCCGCGCCCGCCATATTATTGGTGCAGAATCCTACAATGCCGTCGATCCGTTGTCCATGGCTCTGAATAGTTTAGCCTATCCGCGGACATAACGCCGTGTAGGGTGTGGAGATAGGGTGAATACGCTGCATACGGCTATAGGACCGCCTGCCGCTTTGCGCCCTCGCATCATAGGTCTAGGCATGCAGCCCTTTCGCGTGCGGAGGGTCGTGAATTTCTGTGTCCGTGATTGCGACGTAAGCCTTTGTTGCTATTCACTTTAGACGAGGCATCACTTCTTTCCTTTCTCTCAGATCTACTTTCCATATCTGCCTAGAACACTTTGTGCTGATAGTTTGACTTCCGGACTGTCGATCTACAAACTGTTCGATTTGTATTCCGTTTTTGCGGTTATTCCCAGTCGACTGTCTCAGTAATACCGTATACTCGGTAAGACTTGCTTCTCTTTCCTGGCTGCCAATGTACGCAGTAATCTAACACGAGTACGCCACATCTGTGCGTACGGCACGGAAGGGGCGAAGATGCGTCACGGTGTCAAATACATGCTAACGACTCCTCCTTCAGTTCACTCCATATTCAACGTCCACAATGGCGACGCCATCGTCATTACCAAACCCCACGCGGGATGCGCAAGATCTGCCCCACGGACCTACCAAAGAAGCATACGAACAAGGCCACGATGCAGACAGCAGACTACCTGAGGATTCATTCTCCAAAGATCCAGAGAAGGGCATCGACAGCCATGCCCATTCAACCCACACAGACGAGCGAACAATGTCTAGCATCGCCCCACCAGAACAAGAACGAGACGCCAACATCGTCGACTGGGACGGGCCAAATGATCCCGCCAACCCTCAAAACTGGACGGCGAAAAAGAAATGGGGTATCATCTCCGCACTGGGTGCCTGTACCCTCATCACTCCCCTCGCATCCTCCTTCTTCGCACCCGGCGTCCCCCAGGTCCTCCGTGCCTTTAACGAAACCTCCAACATAATGGCCTCGTTCGTCGTCTCAGTGTACATCTTGGGGTTCGCCATTGGACCTCTGATCATCGCGCCCATGTCTGAACTCTACGGACGCATGCATCTGTACAACATCTGCAACGCACTCTTCGTTGTCTTCAACATCGCCTGCGCGTTGTCCAATTCCATGGGCATGTTAGTGGGCTTCCGTTTTCTAGCGGGGTGCGCCGGAGCCGCGCCCTTGACTATTGGAGGCGGCACAATCGCCGACATGTTTCCTCCTGAACAAAGAGCTGGTGCAATGGCCGTGTGGGCCGTCGGACCACTTCTAGGCCCTGTCATCGGACCTGTATGCGGAGGTTTCCTCGTGGAGAACCAATCCTGGCGCTGGGTCTTCTGGATCCTCGCCATCTTCGGCGGCGTCTTCGGCGTCATGCTCTTTTTCGTTGGCCGCGAATCCTACCATCCTACTCTTCTTGCTCGCAAGACAAAGGCCCTTCGGAAAGAAACTGGGAACGAGAATCTGAGATCGAAACTTGCTCAGGATCTGCCGCCGAGGGAGATTTTCATTCGCGCTATTGTGCGCCCGATGAAGATGCTCTTCCTTTCTCCCATTGTCGGTCTCATGTCCCTCTACGTCGCTGTCAACTACGGTATCCTGTATCTGTTCTTCACGACCGTCACGTTTGTTTTTGAGGGCCAATACCACTTCTCCTCCGGCGCCGTCGGACTATCCTACATCGGTGTTGGTGTAGGCATGTTCATTGGTATGGTAGCCCTCGGTATCCTATCCGACAAGATCATCGTCAAGCAAAAAGCCAAAGGAAACGTCAAGCCTGAACACCGCCTTCCGCTTATCCTTACCCTACCCGGTGCCATTGGGCTCCCCGTCGGTGTCTTCGTATACGGATGGACGACATACTACAAAGTCCACTGGATCGTCCCTATCATCTTTACCTCGTTCATCGGTCTGGGTAATCTGACGGCTATGATGACTATTCAAACCTACCTCGTTGATGCGTTTACTGTCCACGCTGCGTCTGCTATCGCAGCGAATACCGTTCTCCGCTCCATGTTCGGTGCCTTTCTGCCGCTCGCTGGATTAAACATGTATGATGCTTTGGGGTTGGGGTGGGGAAATTCTCTACTTGGGTTCATCTCTGTAGCGTTTATTCCGGTGCCGATTCTATTCAGATACTATGGTGAGAGGATCAGGACGAACCCGAAGCTTCAGGTGCAGCTTTAGGGTAGTCGGCTCAGCCAGTATAGACAACTTCACAGCATTGCGCGGCGTTGATCATGCGGTAGAACAATACAGTTTGGAATGTCTCCTGTTTGAAACATATCATAGGGACCTCCTATATTTTGCCTGCTGCCTCATATTATCCATACTGCAGCTTGTGGCTAACATGTTTTTTTTTGGGGTCTCAGAGCTTTGCGCTGCTGGTTCGCGAACCCCAGCGTGTAGCGTGGAGAACACCACTGCGACTGCTTCATCACCGACCCTCCTGCCTGCCTTCAAAGTGACCTCAGCACCTGCCTTCCCTCTCTCTTACCGAGAACAACGCACACAATGGTGCGAAAGTTCCGGCCAGGCTGCTTCATCATCGGTCGTATCGAATGGCCTTCCTCTCATCAAGCGCGCACCCTCTCGACCTCGGGAAGTCAAACACCAAAACGTAAGGTGCGAAGTTGGAAGCTCGATTCCTCCTGCTCTCGAAGTAGGCCAATGTCTTTTCTTTATCTCAACAAGTCTGAGATGAAAGAAACTTTCATGGTTAGCTGACTGCATAATGCAGCCCGATAGTTGACCCGTCGGGGAGCTACGTGTGGTGCTAACACCAACACACAAATGTGGCCCTCTGAGACCCCCTTCAAATTTAGCGTTCATACAAAAAAAAACAAGGTGTCAAGGATGACTGACCTGTTCTGTAGGAGTTGCGAAATTCTTTTTTTTTCCTTCTGGGATTTCGCCCTTTATATAGCCTTGGTTTGGGCAGCGCGCGGTGACTGTGATCACTATCCCTTGGTTCGTATCCACTAGAAGACTCAATATCCACAGCGGTGAGCCAGTCATAGCTTCCGTGATCTAAATCGTGGCGACATCATCCAACAATTTGAGACACCGAGGTCAGTACCGAGGAGGAGATGACACATATATTTGTGTACGTAATAAAGGGCGGCAAAACACTTTGATATCTTTGTTCATGGCTTTAGACGCGGCTGTAATGCTCATGTAGTTATCCGCGGATTACAGCAAGTACCTCGTGGGCCAGTCGATATGCAGTTTGATATCTCCAAGATGTGGAATTGACGTTGGATAGAGTTACTACGATATAAATTCTAGAAGAATGCCTATGAGAAATCGTTCGAGATTAAGCAAAATAAAGAGATGATTGAGTACTGCCTTCGCGACACAAGTAAGTGGCCATGGCGCCTCTATTTAGCCTAACTACATATCCATCTAAAAGACCTTAGCAATTGTTGAAAGTGCAAAAAGGTCTAGCTATACTACAAAAAGCGTGCAGAGTATATATCTTGCCACCAGGCCCGCCGCCCTACAACTAACAATCATCCCCATGTTCATCTAGCCAAGACACTGGACTGCGACGTCGCCTCCTTCTACGGGAATCCAGATATCGTACTGGTTGCCGTTCTCGTCCGCGACAACGTAGTGATCAAAGTGCGGCAAGAAGACCATAAAGGCCTCCTGTGAAGTACTGCACGACTTGCTCGGATCAAACTCAATCGTCCGGGTGTACTCCTGACTGAATTCCATAGATACTTCGATGCCAACGGATGCAGTGAAGATGTCAAAGAAGCCGACGCTTAATTCGGCACTCACGCCGACGCTCGTGGAAAAGCCTTCTGTAGTCGACCACTCGGTGGATACGCCGGGTGAGGTGATGCCGCTCATCCGGTTGCTGACGCTGGGTCGAGTAACGGACTTGGAAAGACCGAGGACAAGCACTTCTTCTTGCTATTGTCGGATCGTGTTAGAAAAAGGCAGTAGAATTGGTAAACATTGGCAAGGATGGACTGGACACTCACTCTCTTCTGGATAGTGGGCGCGGAATGACGTTGGATGGTTTCGTTCCTCACCGTCTCCCAGAAAACCTCCATCTCCTCTATCGTCTTCGAGTCAACTCTTAGTTGCGGCTTAGCAGAGCGGGTCGTGGTGCGAATGGAGCTGCGTCTCGCGAAACTGGCTGGGACGGCGCCGGCTTCGACGTATTGGTTTGAACCTGCCTCTATTTGAGCAGGGCCTGGGGCCCGACCGCCAGACCCCTGAGGCTCACACCACTGCTTGATCAAGCGATAGTATGTCGGGCCGCTGATGACATTCAAGTACGAGTCCTGGCCATCGCCGCGGGTGTTGCATACAGCGATGACGCAGTTTGCGTCCTGTCCGTCCGAAAACGTCGGATCAGAGAAGATGTTGCAGGCCCCATCTCTAATTGGACGGCCACCATTGTAAGGGCTTTCCGTCCAGTCAATGTTAGCTATGACTCTGTCGCCTAAAACTCGATTAGTTGAGAGTCGTGTAACGCCAGGCGGTTACTTACAAGAATCATAATTTGGCTCCGTGTATGAGTCGCATTCGTAGACCAGCTGCGCCTGTACGTTGGATATGCCAATGACGGTCAAAAGAGTAGCGAGTTTGGCAAGCATATTGGAAAGTGTAATCTGGTCTGTTGAACTGATGGGAAGATAGTGCTTGCCTTGAGTGAAGGCAATGCTGGTGAGGATGCTGAGAAGAAATCTGAGAGACTTGAAGGCTTTAAATACATATTCTCGTAGCATGGCCTTCTTCTGATTTCCGTCCATTATCATGCCTATGATGCGCTAACCTGCAGATTCTATTGGGAAATCCTTCGTGGTGTTCGCTTCCGTTCTCAATACCTAGGTAGCCCTTCACGATGCCCATACCATTTGCCACATGTCGCCTAGGTGCTGGCTAAAAGCGTTTGGTTCGTGTAATAGCGGACGTCGATGGTTGCTTCTGGATGTTGATTCGGTGCAAAGACGAGTGAATGTGTAAGGCCAAACGCCAAGATATATAGTAAGTTACGCCCTGCCAAGTCGGAACGGGACACCCGTTATAGTCGCCTTTAGTGTGTATGCGATGTGAACAAGTTCGCGTCCTTTACATCCTTCGCATCCTTAATGACGATTTAGCTGTCCTCTAGCTTCTTAGCCGCATGGGTACCGTGCCGGACCGCCCGCAGCACCGAACCTGTGCACCAAATGCACGCCATCTCCATACGCCGTTGGAGCCTCAAGTGACAATAACATTCCTCATCGGGATCGATATCTCCGAAGGAAAGGGTGCGCCGTTGATGTCTGCGACCGCGTTCTAGCAACATGAACATGAGAATCTGATTGCCACTGTCAACATTGCCGTCCTGCGGCTTAAGTCGTTAGAAGTAAACGTCTTCCACTCCGACTGGAAGCCGCGGAGCCTTTGACAGCAGCAATCGGGTGAACGGCAATGATCCTGCTGAACTCTCCACCAATATTGCAAGGATGATGGTTGAGTGTGGTGCTTTTGGGTTAAGTGGATACAAGTTCCTGGATACTGTTCCCGAAAACATAGAAGCAGAAAGCAAGTACGGTTTGGCATTCGTAAAGGTGGGCCTAGTGGTCCACTGCATTCATCTGCTGTATGATAGCCTGCTGGTTAACGAACCTGCAGTTGCATGCGTTGCGCTCAGTATCATAGGACATGTTGACTTGGGTTTTGCGGCTTTGTTAGATGCATACATCTATGAGATGGCATGCACAAACCGACGCAATACTGGCGATTAAAGAGGCTTCTTCATAAGATGACTTGAGATGTAACTTTGCCAAAACGTGAACATTATATTCTAGATAGGCTTCTGACATCTCTCTCTTCCCCGCTCTCACACGAATTACGGTACTTATTAGGCCTTCTCTTCAGTCTTTTTCTTCCCACTTAGCATGCCCTTGATCTTACTAACACCCTTGCCCAGGCCTCCAAAGACAGCCCCGAAACCAAAGCTCCACCCCTTGATTCTGATGCTCCAAACGAAGAAGTAAACAAGCGCCCAATTGCTAATGCAAAAGGCAAGGAAGATACCGAAGTTGCGCCATTTGTCGCTTGCTTTGATGTGGATAGTAGCAAGGTAGTCGTTACCCACGGAGTATGGGCAGTATTGGCAACCAGTCGTGGCGTCGGGATTGAGGAGGTATCCTGGAGAAGCTGAAGCAAAAGCGCCGGCATAGGAGGAACAGGTCTGGCCTGGTGGTGCGTCAAAGATGGCGGTCTCGCTCTCCTGACATTCAACCGGTATACCGTTCAAAGTAGCAGCGAGAACACCGCCAATCCAGTACGTTGAAGGGTTTATCCAGAACATCCAATACTTCCAGAAGACGGGCATCATGTCGTACGGCCGTACAACACCATTGAACAGACCAAACATGACGAAGAAGAAAGGCAGAACGTTCGAAATGACCGTAAAGCTCGGCGCAAACGCACAGATCCACTGACCCCAGCTGGAAATGAACAGGAAGAACAGCATCGTCATCAAGAAGACGTATCCCGACGTTGAGCTGTCAGTGGGTAGTCCAGTAGGGAAGTACCACAGAATCCAATACAACACACTCGACACAATGGCAATGGGAACCTCAGCCACCACCTGCGCAGTGGTGAAAGCGACCCAGCCGTAAATGCGAGATGGAAGTTCGCGAGCTTGCCATAGTGCCATGTTTTGGTAGAATTTGGGTACGACGGCGTTGACGATGGTGGGGGGGATGAGAATGATGAGGAACGCGGTGAACATGCGGTTTTGCAGGTCGCCGATGGAGTTGCCGAGTTGCCAGAACGTGAAGCCGTTGAATATACCGATGATCACTGCGACGAAGAGCTTGCCGTAGAGGTACGACGGATCACGCCAGTACTGGATGAAGGTGCGCTTGGTAAGCATGGTGGTCTGCTCCCAGACACTGGCCGCGAACTCGGATTCCTCTTCTGCCCCTTCTTGGTTCTGGTTGGAGACGGTCTTGCTGCGGTCGGCCTTGATGCGATCGATTTCCTGGAGCATCTGCTTGTTGTTGTCGGAATTGAGCCATTCTTCATTCCAGTTGATTTTACTGCCGTCTTTGCGCTTGACAGGTTTCGCTGCAGTCTCCAGAATGAACTCTGCCACGTTTTTACTAGGCGGACACTGTACGCCACGGTCTCCAAAGTACTTGATGACGTCGGTTCCGTTCTCGCCTACGGGA